CCCTTATTTTTAGACCAAACTGAGGCCCGAAGGGCCGAAAAAATTTTATCAGACCGGCCCCCACTTATCTCAGGGTCTGGATGACTGCCCCCCTCCCATATCTAAAGGTCTGGATCGCCCACAGGTTGACTGTTTTTCTGACCCACCTCATTCCTAGAATATCATGAGTTTTTAAGTGGCGTTCAGGTTTCTCTCCAGCTGTTGAGCAACAAAAAATTTAGAGAATAAGCAAACTAACGTTAACCAAGTATCCGTCACCATGTTAGTTTCGAACCTAATATGATTTATGCATCTAGAAAATATGTAAATCCTATGTGTCGTCCCATGTAAGGAAATCCCGATTCCGGAATCCGGGAAATTTTTGCTAGTGGAATCTGGAATCCTGGGCTTTGGAATCCGGAATACAGCTCAAAGAATCCGGAATCATACTAAAGATTGGAATCCAAAATCCAAGTTCCACTGGAAAAGACTGGAATCAAGTACCTGAAATCCGGAATCCACGGCGTGGAATACAGAATCCGAGCCGGACTGTCTTGGATTCTCTTCCATGGGGCGATATGTGTAGGAGGAATGTTTCGGGAATGAACCTTCCCGTTTATTAGCCCCGTAATCAATACATACCATGGCCTTTTACGATGTTAAGAGTTCGGCTAGCTTGTCTTGTGTCATACAATGTAACTGGGTCAGAGAGAGGATTGCTATTCTGAAGCTGACTGAGCTTAAATATTTGACTGGCAAAGGAAAGCTTTTCAACTCAGCCTGCTAGGTTTGGCCAGTTTCCATCATCCCTTAATTTCCGTCGTTTAGTACAACTTCCAAACCTAACTTCAGACTAACTGTTAGGGCTTGTCTCACTACTAACAGTTAAAATTTTGTTTCACTGCATTTATAAACACTCACATTCGTGACAGGAGTTGCACAAAATAACTTTCAAGCAGGTAAGACAGAAAAATTGTCTGGTGCCTTTCACAAGGTCCGTTCCACATCCGTCGCAGATTTTGGTGCCGCCGATGACGTGAGAGAACCGCGCCAAAAACAGTAACACTCTCTGTCGGAAAGGAACGAAAACAAACAAACTTAACCTCTATTATTGTTTCCATGATTCATCAGTCATATGGAAACAAATGACATTAATTTAAAGTCTGAATGAGCCAAGCTAGCTTGGTGACAATTTTATTCGCCGGAATTTCTGTTTACTCTGCTGCGCAAAAGATATTGAAAATAAGATAAAAATCCTAGCTATCCATTGCATTTGCTGCTGGAAATTTTTATATGCCTCAAACGGTGTTATTACGTTTAGCTTATCATCTTCAGCCGCTGAATAAGTAGACATGGCTTTGTCAAGTTTTTCTCTGCACGCTCAGTTCTAGCTAACTTCTTTGGACTTCTGAACCAGGTCTTGGATAAAGGAGTTATCCGTTTCTTCTTGTTCAAGTAGAGTTACAGAAGGGAATAAAAGCAGCTAACCCGTAAGTGATGGTTTGTCACAACTTTCTTCCACACTCCACTGCGCCAGGCGTTAAAATCCTTTTTGGCGTCCTCAACCCATTTCATGTTTTCTTCATAATGCTGTAGCTCTTGTTGTTCGTCGGTGTTCTTCGTTCCTGAAGGAACAGAAAATCCGTCTGCCTTTTAAAGCTTTTGAGTCGTTTATAAAGACTAACCTTACTTGAATATGGCTTATGACGGGACGCGCTCGCGCTTTCCCCCTCCCCCTCCCCCCGGCTCCCCCTTCCAACTTTTTACGCCTGCCATGCAGGCTGCTTTTAACTTAACTGTCTGAATCTTAATAAAACAATTTTTTTACTGTTTCTATAACGATTATTACCTGTTGCTAAAACAGAATATTTCGTCACGTTATGAGTACCAATATGCCTAGGAAAAACAATATCAAACGGGTTAGTTCAATGTCATGATTGTAGAGTGACGCGCTAAGCAAGACAATGACAAAATCCAACTTTTCCTTTCTTTCCCTGCCCTTTGCTTTCGCTTCTGCTTGAGAGGGTTACTTGGTTGACTGCGATCACTTCATGTAAGGGAATCAGGAACCCGGAGAATTTTTTCTTTTGGAATCCGGAATCCTGGACTTTGGATTCCGGAATACAGCTCAAGGAATCCGGAATCCTACTAACGATTAGAATCCAGAATCTAATTTCCACTGACAAAGAATCCGGATTCCAGTGCCTGGAATCCAGAATGCAAGACTATCTTGAATGCCCTTAGATGGGGCGAGTGAAAGCTTACTTGGAGACAGCAAACTCTGGTTACGGCGGAGGCCTCCATAAAACTAACCCCTATGTAATGAAGTCCTCGGTATAATTAACAATAAAGTGCGCGTTGGATAAGAGATGGTAGATAGCCATAATCATCTCATATCCAACAAGCGCGAGTGGAATAATTGTTTTATCAAAAACGCCCACTAAATATCGAGAATTCTTCCCGACTTTATTTGTAAAAACAACCGATTTCCAGCTTTTTTTTAAAATTTGAGTAGACGCGTACAGTTACCATATTTGGAGAGCATGGTGTAATGGCTCATATACCTAAGCCAATCAGAGCTCTAGAATTGCATTATCCAATGATTCAGTTTCTAATAGAGAAAGATATCTTTCGTTCCAGTAATAGTAAAGTAGATAGAAAAGGACCTCGATACAATGAAACCTCGTGATATTTCGAACACATTTTTTCCCACCCCTGGGCCATATCGAAGTACCACTGTGTTTCTTGCATGCGAAATTGTGGGCAATGGCGATACGTTCTTTAGTGCTTCGTTAAAAGGCCAAAACTTTGAGTATACATCGATGCTGATCGACTTTTTTGTTGCTCAGGTAGATTTTAGTCTTTCGTGACTAGAGGTATCGAAGTACAGTTTCGCCTTTACAGAAGGTTGCAGTTTAACAAAAGTCTTTAAAAAGAAACCATAGTGGCGGCAGCTTTTTCTTTCCATATGTCACGTCAAGTTTACTAGAAAGTTCTTTTTTATGATTGGTTCCGTGTTACCTCTTACGTTCGTGAGGAAGGAAAGAGGGAAACTACAGACGCATTTCAGTCTATTTACCTTTCCGGGAACTTTCCAGAGAAATGGCACCCAGTGCACAGATTCATCTCCTTGCACTCACTGCAATGATAACGTGTTCCAACTATACAACCACCACAACCATCACACCAGACTCTGAAAAATAAAGAATTTTACCTTTCTTTTACATTGATGTTCACCAAATACTGAGCCAGCTATCCAATAAACTGTGGTTTAGGAATTAGTTGAGCCTGGGTTCGAATCCTGGTGCCGTATTTTTGATCGAGTTTGATTTGTCGTTGGGTTTCTTCCATGCTCCAAGAGTCGCTCCAAGAGGTTACCTCTCTCCTCAAATACCAACATGTTTAGATTAATTCGATCAAAAATATACTAGACAGATAAAAATATATATATAGATGTTCTGAGTTATTTATTATTATTTATTTACTTTTTTTATATATTTTTGTTAGATTCTCAACTATTGCCACGGCTTTGGAGCGTCTTAAAAAAGGACGTGGACTATTTATCCAGAGATTACTCTGCATAGATTGTTTGGAAAAGACGCATTTTACTATACACGTCCTTAAACGCATGCAAAGATGTGAATAACGGGGGGTTTGTAAAGCGGTACAGCTGCACCCACGAGGGCCGAAGGCGCGAGCCACTAGGGGGTCCAGGGGCATGCTACCGCGGAAAATTTTTAAGATACTTTTCTCTAAGATACCATTTCCTGCATTTTGAGATCACAGTCAATGGAAAATAGTGGCGTTTTTAACAGACAGTGGAAGCTAATAAGGCGAATTGGTCCCTATCACATCAGTGCATTACCGAGCCCAAAGTGATCGCAGGCTCATGCTTGGATACCAAAATGGTAAAAATGGCTGAGAAACCACAGAAAAACGGCAAAGATTCGTGCTAAAAAAGACTGGTTAAACAAAGAAAACAATGTTTTTCTTTGGCTAGGAAGAGTTTCAAAAACCGGGTGAATATTAAGCGAAAACAGGAGGGTTGGAATCTCTAGCCTCCTCTGCTCCCTCTGCATGGAACTAGGAACGAGGCAGAGTTGTTTACCTTAGATAAACAGCATCGTGAGTTTCTGAATGGCCATCAGGGTTCACTCCACCTGCGGAACAAAAACATGGATAAATTATCAGAGGGTATATTCACGATGACGTTATTTTTCTAAACTTCGTTTTTTTTTCCCTCTTACATTGATCTCTTATTTGCTCAAGCAGATAACATGTAATATAAATTTGAACTTACTGCACATATAATATTCACAATTTCTGTGAGCAGTGGCCTCAGTGTATTTCTTTGGAATGAATTACGGTTTTGTCTTTTTGTATCTTGTCTCTTTGTAACTGTAAAAGACTTTTGTTTTAATTGGCTAAGGACGACGATCATAAAATATCGGGCGCCCCTTTTTTGAAGACGCACATGTTGAAATACTTTCATGTCTCTGGTCAATTCGGACGACACAAATTTTGTTTGCTCGCTTAGAGGCTTTCTGCGGGGAACAGGTTAGATGTCATGTGACCTCGAAATAACCAAAGAGAGGGCGCAGTGTTGAGGAATAATAGACCAATTCCGATATATTAAAATTCATACTTGGCTGCGAGGCTTGGGGGAATAAAACAGAAGAAATCATCTTGAGGCTCAGTAATGAATAGTACTCTTTTGTTTTATTCCCCCAAGCTTCGCAGTGAAGTATAAATTTTAATACATCGAAAATGGTCTAATCCAGCGCTATAACAAAATAGCGAAAATTTGCCGCTCAGTAAGCGGCATATATAATTGATTTAACTTTTTGAATACTCACACAGGTTACAGCTCCCGCACAAATTAACATTTGGGCAATTAAGACAACCCCAGAAGTCTTTTCCTCTGTCCCAAGTGATACCGCAACCAGTACAGTTCAAGGACATTCCAAGCATGTTGGAGAAACGAACCAAGAAAAGATGCGTTCTCTGAATCCGATGAAAACAGTGCCACTTAGTACAGTGCAATGTAGTTAGGTAGGTGGGTGGGTCGGTAGGTAGGTGAGTGGGTGGGTGGGGAGCTTTTTGTGGGAAGGTAGATCGGTAGGTAGGTCAACAACTAGGTCACTACTTAGCCTGTGTACAGACGTCCCCTCCCCTCAACAAAATTTTTTGGGTGTGAGGGGCGTCTGTTAATACAGGCTAGTCACTTTGCATACCGGAAACTAATGGTAAAACACTGGGCATCAAAAACGTGCAACTTGTTTCGAAAAAATTGTCGTAAAACGACTGGAGAAGCGATGTTGCGCGTTTTACCACGGCAATCACGTTCAAACCTGTCTTGCAACGAATTAGGTTGCTGTAAGTTGCGTAAATACTGATCATGACTTCTGATTGGAAGGGAGGGAGTTACGCCATACACGGTGGTTACGTCACTTGCTGCCAAAACGGTTGCCTTGGGGCAGTAAAACGCGCAACATGTACCGAACATTTTGTTTCAAAAAGTAGAACCACTCTCTACTTTCTGCAACAAAGTTGCACAACATGGAACATCCTGATTTGCTGCAAGACAGGTTTAACGTGGGTGGTAAAACGCGCAACATCACTTGAACCGTTCTGCAGGAAAGTTGCATTACAAGTTGCAAGGTTTTGTCGCCCGTTTTACGGTACGTTAAAGGAAAGATGATTGATTTTGTTATGTTGTATGATTATATTTGTTTATTTTGTACTTCTTAACCTTTCGCTGTTGGTCTGTCTGTGCCTCTGTCTGCACACAGCTTATCCAGGTAGCGATGTCTTCTTTGGCCAATTCAAGCCATTTAATGTGTTCTTCATATTGTTCAAACTCCTCCTGTTCGTCCATATGTTTTGTTCTTGTTTCAAAATTATCAAGTAAAGCAAATCTATTAAACCATTTAGATACAAAAGAGCAACAACTGTTTTAATTATAACTTCGAACGACGGATGCGAAATTTCGGGGAGAAAGGCAGCTATCATTCAGAAATAATAAAATTCAATTTTATTGACAAGAATATAAAATTATAAGTGAACCCCACTTTTTTGTGAGTCAAATAGTTTTCAGAGAGAATTCGGTAGTCAGCAGAATTCCCGAAACTAATGAGTTGTTTTTTTTTCTGAGTTTTCAAACGCAATGCTATAATCATAATAAACCGAATAAAATTATTATCAATTTTCCTCAATCGAAAAAGAAAGGAATACTCAACAGTCACATCACGTTCTACTGTTTCCTGTCTAAATCACCATTCTACTGATTCTAAGCAGCCGTCTCTGTTTTAATATTCCGATCAGGCTCATCAATAAGTTTTATTGTTATTATTATTATTAAGAATGGGTATTTACGGTAACGATAATAATAAAAATAGCCAATTTATCAACGTTACTCTCAAACCTTATCAATTAAACGTTCACCTACGAGAAGTTTGAAGACCCACTTTGGCTGTTCAAACACAAGAGACATACCCAGCCGTTTGTTCTGTATGATGTTATTAAAACCTACCTTGATGGGATCGCAGAAAACAACAGCATATACTCACGAGAACTACTCGTTTTTGCAAATGTAAACGGGTGTGACTAAAACCGTTCCTCAGCGGTGATACACTAAGATACTGAAAGAATTTTTAAAGTCGTCATGTTACTATTTCTAGATGCTTGCTGTTTAAGTCGCATTTCATGAATGTGGTCACATGTTTGAGAGTAACAATTGGCGGTTGTTTTCCTTGGCTTTTACTTTCATAGCTGTCGCTGGGCCAAGAAAAAAAGCTAACACGACTAGACAATCATGCGAAAAGCCAAGTTTGTTAGGATAGAACGGGATCAACTTTATTTAACCAACATAAAAGCTGGGCGTGTCTCAAAAAATATTGCAATTAATTGCAAGCACTACAGTTTATGATAATTACAAAAGTTTAACAAGTGTACTGAATCTATAGAAGTACTAACGACCAAAGCTAAAGTAAGAGGGCACAAAATTACAAGACAAAATATAATAACGGTTATCACACTTAACACATCGCAACTTCGAGCTACATTGAGTGGGGAATTCCATAGTGTCGCACCACTTTAGCTCAGGTTGACTATTAGAAATTCTGTTCTTGGTAGGGGATTAGCAACATTATTAGAGGATTTCTGTTTCCAATTGCCAATTGAGGGAAATCTATAGGATCCCTTAAAAATATAAGTCAGTCGACTTTGAGCTAAGCCATTCAAACATTAAGTAGTTTTGATTTCACCTCTACGCTCAACCAGGGTAGTGATGTAACCAAGGGAATTTAAGACTTCCTCTGACTGGCGTATTTCATTTGTGAGTCCCCGTTTTAGTTTCGCAACGTCAGATCAGAGACTAAACAGATTTCAAACTAATTTATTAAACAAAATGAACAACTGTCAGCCTTGCGTATTCTTGTTTTAGTTCGATGTAATGTCGCCGTTTTGGGCTTTGTTTGAGACAACCGTCATACAGTCTTCTTGACGGAAATAACTGCAAATAACTACTGGGCCCAAAAACGTATCCTTCATAAAACAAGAAAAGGCAGAAAACGCGAATTCATCATTTCGATAATCAAAGCTCGAGACTGAAAAACGTTTTTAATACATTGGCTGAAAATCATTTTTTTGCTATATGTTCACCTTTGTCAGTTTAACGATTATATTTTCTCTAACCACTTGCATAAACTTTAGTCACACAGCTCTCACTCAGAGTCCAAACATGCCACACAAGGTAAAGAGAGTAAAAAGAGGAGAATCGGATAACTTAATGTATACGAGATTCGTTTCGTGCTATTAGAGCCGATCGAAACTGAAAAATTATTGCCAATTTCTTTGTATTTCGATAGTAAAGAGCAAGTCAGGACTTTACTGTCTGTGATACTAATATTAATAATAATAATAATAATCGTAATAATAATTATAAAGGTACTGCTAATGATAATAATGATTATGATTATGGTTATGGTTATGTACTGTTCAAAAAACGAGCAGGAGTGTATTATCAATTTTAAAAAACTCGACGCTTCGCCTCGAGCTTTTAAACGTGATAATACACGACTGCGAGTTTTTCTTTAATGGCTTCAAAATCTCCGATATAGATTAACTCAGTCTTGCACTAATAGTGCTGACAAGGTCTTAATTCCGACTAACGACGCGGTATATTTTTTCTTTTCCGACCAATTAGTATGAACTCATACTCGCAATATTTTACCAAAATTAAAAATCACAAAAACACACAGCAATAACCAAAAATACAGTCGACTCCCGATAACTCGAACCCTCGCTAACTCGAACCAATTTTCGTTTCCCCTCAGGTCATTTTCTATATAATTTTACCCTCGATAACTCGAACCATGTTTTGAACCCTTAAAAAGTCGGATAAAAAAGCCGTCTACGGGCGTCCGAAACATTGAATTTTGGATTAACTATCGACGTGTTGTAGGAGTATAGTTTACTAGTGGAGGCTGATGTTGATTGCCACAGGCTAACGTGAAGAACCTTTTCTTCTCAAAACAGTAAAACGCATGCTCTATTTAGGCTATGTTTTGTTACGTTACGTTCTGTTTTATAATCTAGAAGTACTTTTAATTTTCACTTGACATTTCTACAATTAAATGTGATTAAAATGTTCACTGTGCAGTAAAAACTGTTTTTTACCATACTCTCGCCTATTTTCTTTGAACTCTCGATAACTCGAACTCCCGATAACTCCAACCTTTCTTCGATTTCCCTTGAAGGTTCCAGTTATCGGGAGTCAACTGTATTGAAATAATCAGTATGATAAAATAATCTTAAAATCCTTAGAATGCCGGGAACAAGCGTGTCTATGAGCTTTCCAAAGTCAAGTAGCAAACTCTTTTTGCAGCCAACAGAATACTTTTAAGGTTAACCTTTTAAGAAGGCCCCTAGGCACGGTTTTGCAATTGGGCGTTTATTTTTGGCGGTTTAATTAACTGCGCATCTCGTTTCTCTAATCTCTCACTGTCTCTCAGTGTTGTATATCGCTGGTCCAACATATTCGGTTAGGAAGGAAATGCAAAAAATGACCAAGTTATCTGTTCAAGATAGGTAAAACGATCAGATGTTCTGATCTTATGAACGTTTAGTTAACCGAGGGTCAGTAAAGAGGAATTTAATTCTATAAGTACTAGTTCTGCCCGTTTCGGGGTTTCTAATCTAATCTAAAGATTAGACTACAAGTTACCTGTGTCTGTGCGCTAATTGTTAAGGTCGCGGGGAGCACCTCTAAGTCTTATTTCTCATCAGGTGCCTATAACCCATTGCGCGAATTAAATGCGCTGAGGGTCTCCCATACCCCTTTCGAAAATGAATTCACCTATATATGGGCAGTACTTCTAATTACCCAGATGCCGAGAATGCTGAATCAATTTAAAATTGAGCCAAAATTGGCCAAAAAGTTAGTTCACAGTAAACGGTATAGTTTGCGAATCACATTAAATGAAATCTTCGTTCACGTTTCACGCTTAGTTCCAAAACCGCTTTCATGAGCGTAAAAAAGGCTCGGGATGGGCAATCACGAGTCACGAAAAGTGAAAGCTTGAATCACGTTTCACTTCACGGAAAAAGCAGAGGGAACTCGCGGCAGTGACAGATATCAACAACGTGATGTATGATTAAAATTATGTATTTGGAAATTTTCACCAAAAACAACAAAAATAATAATGTTTATTGAATTGTCCAACCATATCAAATGGGAACTAAAAGAGAATTCTCTCTTGGTGGAAATGAAGGATAGACTGTCTTCGTAAGATTATCGTGTTTTGAAATTTGCCTAGTCCTTAGGCCTCATTTTTCTTCGCGCGGCCAATTCGTTTCGGGTCACGTGGTTATGAGCGACCACCGTGGTCGTGAGCGGATGAAAGTTAGTCGCGCGTTCCGAACGCGTGACGAAACCCTAAGGACGTCTGCCACGTGGGAGGCTAGCAGGATCCCAGAACAAGGAGCTCTGCTCTGTTTCGCAGAGGGACTTAACCAGGGTCTCGTTTCGTCTGTGACGCAGGCTATACTACAAAATGCTTAGTTCGAGAAAGGCCTAAGAACGGCAGACGGATGGCATGTTTTCCTGAAGCGTCTGACTCTGGTCTTCTTCAAATAATCCTTTTTGTTTAATCATCCATTGGAGTGAAGCGGAAAGGTTCTAACTGGCAGGCGCAGGGGAGACCGTCGTCTCCTTCAGTTTGTTCTCAACTCTTTAACTAAATTTAATCGCAATGCCTCTTGTTGATGTATATGTGTGTTGTTAAGATTTATAAAATAAAAAGGCGGGTTATTTGAGCACTTTTAGTTCCTCACTTTTTAGTTTATGGTAAATGGTTTATTTTAGAATGTCTCTTTGGGGGATCGGGGATCGATCTGCAGTTCTCCCACGGACATATATCAGGACCTGAATTTCTTGAGAACGCTGACATTAAAAAATGTAGAAGGAGCCATCCGCTACGACAATTGATTTATTTTAATTTTTTTAAAAATAATTTCTTGGAATTGCTTTGTCAGAATTTAGGAGATGCTAGTTTTTTAACTTGAGAAGCTTTAAATTTCTTCATTGCCGATGTAATTTGTGATAAATTTATTACCGATCATCTTCGAAACAATCCTGAACTATCACATTTTATTGACTTAAATTGAAGCTGCCAAGAGTTACTGCCAAGATTTCCGCAGATGCGTCATTATTCGTGTCAACCCAGTAAACGAACTCGACGTACGGGGAAAACGATGATATCTCACTATACTTGCATATTATTAAGAGAAGCATAAATGTTATAATTCAACGTTTTGCATTTACTGGTTTTAAATCAATCTTTAAAACGTCATAGTATATAGAATTCAGAGAGGGGCTTATTATATCCGGGGGTGGGTCTTGTAATCGGATGAATCTTTCTGTGACAGGTATAGATGGAC